TGCAAAGGTCACTGTGCATTGTGGGAAGGAGTGGGGGGGCAGGGGCTGACAGCCCCTTGTTACCTCACCTGCACCCTGGCTTCTGTTAAGTCCGTCCTTAGCGCCAGCTGCTCTCGGGTGTACACGTCTGGGTAATGGGTTTTCTGGAAGACCTTCTCCAGCTCGTCCAGCTGGAAGGTGCTGAAAGTCGTCCTGTTCCTCAGCTTCTTGTTCATGTTCTTGGGCAGCTCCGTGGCATCAGGGAGCTCGGGGGAGATGTGTTCCCACAAGCTGCCCAGAGACACCGCTGGGGAGCATTGGAGATCAGGGCTGTCTTCTCGCGGGGCTCTGCAGGCTGCGGGCATGGGGGGGAAGCCCTGGCCTGAGGTGCTGTTCTTGCCCACTGCAGGGGGAACATGCAGAGCAGTGGGTTAGAGAATCCCAGAGCGAGGCTGCTGCCTGCTGCCCCCTCCCTCCGAAGCCGCTGTCCAAAGGATGCTCTAACTCTCCCGGGAGCTGCCTGGTGCTTCCGAACGGACCCATGCAGCACGAGATCCCCATTAAACACGCAGCAGCACAGTGAGGTTGGGGACACAGAGAGGTTAGGGCCTGGATTTCGGGGGGAGGCAGGTCCTCTGTGCCCATCAGGCAAGAATTGGGGCAGGCCCAGCTGGGCTGGTGGGATCTGTGGCTGAAACCCTCTAAAAGGGCAAACAGTGGATCCGAAGCCACTGAGCCGAGGATGGCAAGATACCCAGAGGGGAAAGCATGCGCCAGGCTGGGGCCCAGAGGCGAGCTCCGAGCCAGTGAGGGGATGAAGGTTGGATGGGGAACTCTCTGGGGGGATGCTAATGGAGGACTAGGATTAATAACACCTTCTAGGAGTGGAGCCAGGGACTTGGGAGAGCTGGGCTCTGTCCTCCGCTCTGCCACTGACCAAGGGGCCACCTTGGGGAAGTGGATCAGCCCTGGGCCTCAGTTCCTCTCTGTCCAATAGAACAGCCCTGCCTAGCTCCTCCTCAAAGACTGAGGCACTCGAGTACGAGTGATGGGGCCCCAGAGAGCACTTGTTCCCTGCTCTAGCCTGTGGCATGGCACACCTGTTCTCTAGGCAGTTTAACAGGGGCCTTAGGACTGGGAGAGGCACAGAGAAGGGCTGTACAAACGCCCAGGGGTATGGAGCAGCAGACGGGGGCTGTGCTGTTGAGACGAGCAAGGACTCCAGGGGAGCTGACTGAGGCTGTACGATGGGGATGGCGGGGGCAGTGAACCCGTCACACGATGCACGAACCGGGTTGTGTAATGCCACCACCAGGCAGCTGTTTAACTTCTTCACCCACCACGCAAGTAGCTTGGGAAAGCTGGGGCCAGAGAGAGCTCCTGGTGGAGGATAGGTCCATCAGTGCCTATTAGCCAGGGTGGGCCGGATGCCTCTCCCTGCCCGGGGTGGCTTGCGTGTGACTTCCAGAAGCTGGGCCTGGATGACGGGGTGGCTCATTCGTGCTGCCCACTCCACTGGGCAGCTGGCACCAGCCGCTGTGGGACGACAGGTGATGGAGGGACCCAGTCAGGCCGTTCTTGTGGTTACAGGACAATCACTGGCCAAGATGCCATCCCCTTGCCCATGGGGGGGGGGTGCTGCACTCCCACCTTGAGATGGTCGCCACTGCATAGAGGCTCCAGGTTGGTCTGGTAGCTGCCAGCTCCCCCACTGTACAAGTTGCTCCAGGGCCCTGCCCGTGCCCCCAGCAGGCAGTGCCGGCACAGAAGCACTCAGCCTAGGGCTGGCCCAGCTGCGAGCTGCTGCTGGCTTCTAGCAGTGGCCTGGGCGCGGGCGAAGGAGGCAGGAGGCCGGGGTGTGACATGAGCGGGGGAGGGGGGCAGCCGAGCCATGGAGGCAGGGGAATGAACGAGCATCGCTGGAGCAGGAGGAACTAGGGGGAGCGCTGGCAGGGCAGCTCCTCCGCTGGGGCCAATCAGCAACGGGGTCCATGACCCTCCGTTTATTTCCACCCACCAAGGCTCTGGCCTGCCGCCCTGGCAACCGGAGCATCCCAGGCTGCCTGCTGAGCCCTCCCCCACCCCCCACCAATGGGTACAAGCACGTCTCCTCAGCCCAGCCCTCCGTGTGGGGCAGCTCTGTCCACATGGGCTGGGGCTTGTGGCCACTGAAATCCCAAATGGGCCGGGTCCGGGGCTCCCCAATGATCCCTCCCGCCAGCCGTCCCAGACCGGCCCCAGGGGCCAGCTGTTGGAGGAATTGCCTTGTAGAAAAGGGCCTGCAACCCCTCCCCCAACTCTAAACTCTCAGCAGGAGGGAGGCAGCCAAGGTGGGCGCTGCAGCTCAGCAAGGGCTCTCGGTGGGGCCCACCCTGAGGCTGCCCATTTAACTGGTTCTTCGGGCCCCACAGTGCCCAGCGCAGGGGCCCCAATGAGGAACCGGCTTTCCTTGGCCTGGCGGGGGTGGGCGCAGGGGAGGACTTGGGGCAGGGGGACTGGAAGACACAGGAGGCCGGTCCCTTGTGGCCCTAGGGCGGAGGATCCAGTCCTGGCTTCAGGCCAGGGGCTGCTGCTTTCCCTTCCCAAGGTGGCCCAGCCGTCGGGGGCTCCCCTCCCCAGCGCCCTTCCCAGCACGAAGGGCCCAGGGCCCAGCCTGCTCTCTGGCTTCGGGCTGGACCCTGCACCACCGGGGGTTTGCTCAGTGCGAGGGCAGGATCGGGCCCAGCGTTCATTGCTTTCCAGGATGGCGGGGACGGGCCGTAGGCGGGGCGGGGGGGCGCTGGGTCCTGCGCAGCCTGTGGGACCGATCCTGGGTACACGGTGCTTTATTCCTTCCTCCCCCCGCACTGCGCCTCGGGCCCGATCCCGGCCCTCTCCCCGTGGTTCGCTTCTTAACCCCCCTTCCCGCAGCGCTGGGGCGGCCCCCGACCCCCTCCCCCGGCTGCAGCAAAGGAGAGAGGAGCCCCGGCGGAGCCGCTGGAGCCAGGGCGGCAGCGAAAGCGCCTCTCCCGCAGCGGCCGGAGAGCGACTGATCCTACCCCGCGGCGCCCTGGGCCCCGAGCCTGGCTGGGAGCGTCGCGGGGAGCGCGCTGCGATTCTGCCGGAGCCGCGTGTGAACGCAAAGCCCGCCTCCCTCTGCCCCGGTCCGCTTGCTCGCCGGCCGCCCTTCTCGGCACAAAGCCTCCGGCCACTTCGGCAAAGCCGGGCGAGCGCCGGGCCCGGGCGGGGCACGATTCGAATTCACACCCGGTCGCTTCCCGGGGCCGCTCGGTCTTCCGGGCCCGCCTGGAGAAGGAAGGGCGCCTCTTTCTAGCTGGGTGCGCAGTCCCGCACACACCTCGCTCGCTAGGTCGGTCTCAATTCGTGCACGTCGCGGATCGCTGGGAGCCAGCGCCTTCGCCTCTTACTCCTTCCTCTTCCCGGTCTCTAATTCGAATCAGCCCCGGACAAGGAAGCGGCTTTATTAGGGACCCCCCTTCATTAAGCCAGTTCGAGGAGGGGTGACCGCTCGTTTCGATGCGCTGGCCCCGCGGGGGACGCGTTCTCTGGACGCAGACAGCAACCCCCTTTGTTCGAGCTCTTTCAATCCGAAGCTACAGACGCCGCAGCGGCAGGAGAGGCCCGGGACGGAACAAGCAGGCCCCGGGTTGGTTTCCAGGGTCTCCACGGAGGCTCAGCGGCGGTTTCACGTTCGGAGAGGAGGCCGCGAAGTTTGGGCTGCAGACGGGGACGCCCTCGTGCTGCACGGGACCGCCGCGGGTAGCTTCACACTCGGCCGCTCAGCCAAGCGGGCCCGCTGCTTTCATCCGCCGCGTTTCCTTGCGAGCTGCGGGGTTACCCCAGGCCCTAGACACCCGGCTCGAGGGGCGGGGAGAGCAGGCCAGGGCGGGGCAGGGTTAAAACCTCCGCGGACCGTAGTGACGGGGATTTCTCGTGCGGGCGCTTAGCTGGGCCCGAGGCGCCGAAGCTGTGGCCCAAATGCACAGAGGTTGGGTGAAAAGTGCGCGGGGACCTCAAAGCACCGTTCCGGGGGCAGGAAAGAAACTCTCCGCCGTCTCATGCCCGGAGCACCGGGCTCCCCGCACATCACTGGGGTCCAGGCCTGCGCGGGCGGCCGTCACCGCGGCATCTGGGCGCGCCGAAAGAGCTGGCCAACCTCAGCCTGCCGGCGGGGCTAGTCGTGGCCGCTGAGTTCTGCTCCTGGGCCGAAGAGCGGGAGAGGGGCGGCTGTGTGCGCCCCGCTGGCCGCACTAGGGGGAGCGGGGCGGCACCTCTGGGTCTGTCCCGGTCCCCTGGCTGGGGTAGGGAAGGAAGGCGGCGAGGCTGCAGCCTGCGGGGAAAGTGGAGAGTGAAACGTTCCCAATGCCCCAGCGCGCCCGGTCGCGAGATCAGCCTCTAGCAGCCCCCCCTCCCCCAGGTTATCTTTGTAAAGGGGGCGAACGGGTGTGGGGCTCGGGCTGCTGGGCCCCTGCTCGAATGCAGCGGTCTCCTCGATAGCGGGGCCGCTATCTTACTCCCAGCTGGCACTTTTCTCCCCCGTCCCCCTCTCCTCGTGGTACCCGCTCCCCTTGTTTACACAGCTCGCTGCCCGCTCGCCGCCTCGGCTCCGGCCGTCCCAACTGCTTCTAATTGAGCGCAGACCGTGTTTTATCGGGGCTGGATGCGAAGGGCGCAGACACAAAGAGCCACGTAGGAACCCCCCCCCAGCTGATCCCATCTCCTGGGGAAGGAAATCAGGGGCAAGGGACGCACGTTTCGTTTTCAGAACCAAATCACCCAGCCAGCCCAGCGGCCGCGAACTGGCAGAACGATTCCTCCCCATAGGGTGTTGCGCTGAAAGAAGCCCAGGTCTGTCTGGCCCGCTACGGATCGGGACCGGCGCCCATTTAGGAGGCAAGTGTCCGGCTGTCAATTGGGTCTGAGCTAAGAAAAGGGGGGGAAGGGCAGGAAAATGAAGCAGGAAACTGACAGGACCGCCTGTCTCGGAGAAGTGCGCGGCGAGAAACCAGCGCGGAGCGGAATCTTTTTCACGGAACCATTTTCCCCACGAAAATGGATTTTATTTCCCGACTGAAATTAAAACTGAACATGTTACTTTGGGCCGAAATAAATCTCCCCCCCTCCGCCGCCCCCCATGAGAAACACAAAACAAACTTTTGTTTTCAACGCACTTTTTGTTAAAGTTTGGCTTGATTAAAAAACCCAGGAAAAATCCCCAGAATGTTCCAGGGAAAATGTTTCGTTTTGATTTTTGTGTGTGAAAAATAGACCCGCACTAACAGCTACCTAATTAGCGCGATGTATATACGCCCAGATAAATAGACGGGCGTGTGTACAAACGGAAGATCAACTCCAAATAAAATTCAAGAGCAAAACCAGTATCTGACTTGATAAACATGAACTAACCTCCGCCTAAAATCCAGGGAAACGTCTGCCTTTTGGTGATCTACACGTTCTTTTTTCAGCTGAGGAAGTATTTCACTGCCTACACTCTTTTGTGTGTGAATCCAGAGAGACTGGAGCCGAAGAGAATTCTATGTGTACATGTACATGTGATAATAGGAACAGAAATTCTTACACGGAAATGCATCATATAGAGAGGTCCACGGAGGTTTGAAATTAATTCAGCAACTGAAAGATAGTTTCTAAATAACGGAGACGCAGAAACGTCCATGTTTATAGCCAGAACACCTCGCTGCGCTTCCAAAGGGGATTCGAACTTTTCTCCGATTGGCATAGCTATGTTTTAGAGGCGCAAAAGGTAGAATATTGGTACAGCACTCGGGCAAGTAGTTCGTGGTACACTAGGAGCGAGGGTTTATCGGTGAAATAGATAGAACCGAGGAGAGCACAGGGAGCACGGGGGAACGAAGAACGAAATGTCTGAAGAAAGGGATTCTTCTTCCCCGCTTTGGGGATAAGTGCGGGGGCGTCACACTGCAACATGAAATAACTAGCGCTATCCCAAACTAACTTAGTCTGCGTCTACACAGCAGGCAGTTCTTTCAAAATAGTGTCAAGTGGGAGGGCTTCCTACTCCCGCTCTCCTAACCCTCACTGTAGGAGGAAGAGGGAGGGAAGTGGAGGAAGAGTGCTCTATTTTGAACTAAATTCTGTGTAGACACTCCTGATTTTGAACTAAGATACACAACTGGCGCAGCTCAATTGGCAGCAGCTTATTGAAAATTAAGCCCTGCTGTCTAGACGCACCCTGAGACCTTGGATCTGATCAAATGAGCTTTAATTACAGGTTCAACAAATGCCCATTTCCTTCCTTTGATTTCAGCCGTGGGGCCAGGACGTGTGGCTGAGCTGCTGGGAAATGAGGTTTCAGGTAGAACTAGCAGTCACCTGAAGGGAAGAGGCAAATGCGACTGTGACTACACCGCACCGCTATTTCGGGACACCAGAGCTGTCCGGCACTGCTACCCTGACTCTATGCCTGTTATTTTGAAATATTTTTCAAAATAATGGACGGGCTATTTCACCATCCCAGTAACCCTTGTTGCCGAAGGATAAGGGATGGCTTGGAATAGCCCTTTATTTTGAAATTTGGCTGTGTAGATGCAGGGCATTTCAAAATAAGCTTTCAAAATAGATTCAAAATAAGATAATCTGTGTAGTGTAAATTGCCCATCTTATTTCAGTTCAGGGTGCTGTGTAGAGGGTCCCTACCTCGGGGGGGGGGGGGGGGGTGGCCCTCAACCACCTCGGAGACACTGCACGCAGTCGCAGGGCGTCCCTTTCCTTAAGACAGACTATTATTTTATTCCATTCCTGCATTTTCACCGCTAGCTAATCGCTAGGACTCACTTCCACTTTAAGAACAACAATAATCGCTGATCCGTAACCTCTGGAACTCACCGCCACTTGAATAACAACAAAATCACTGAGCATTAACCGCTGGGACCATGGCCACGTTTTAGCCACCACAGTCATTGCTAGTGGCAGTGAATCCCAAAGGCCACTGAGGGAAGCGCAGCGCTAGCCTAGCAATAGCGGCGCGCTGGTTTTGAGACTCCTGACAGCAGCTTGGTCGCTGTTAGCACGTTGGAAGGGCCGCAGTTACAATGAACACGCGGGGCTGTTACTTTCGCACTAGGCTGGCTTCGCTTTCTCGGTGCCCGCGGCCCTTCGTTCTGTTTCCGAACGAACAGTTTATTTCGCCGGAGACCCGGGCTAGGCTCGAGTCGCTCCCATCCCCAGCCGGGCGCTTCCCCGCCCAGGCATTGCCAGCCAGGCTGGGCGCCCTGCGGGGCGAATTCTTACAATGAACACGCGGGGCTGTTACTTTCGCACTAGGCTGGCTTCGCTTTCTCGGTGCCCGCGGCCCTTCGTTCTGTTTCCGAACGAACAGTTTATTTCGCCGGAGACCCGGGCTAGGCTCGAGTCGCTCCCATCCCCAGCCGGGCGCTTCCCCGCCCAGGCATTGCCAGCCAGGCTGGGCGCCCTGCGGGGCGAATTCCCAGCGCGACACAGCGCCAGTGGGGCCGGGAGCCGCTCCTGCCCCGCTTTCTCCCCTCTGCCCGGCC